TTCAGCAATTTGCAACTTGTTACTGTAAATTACATCGTTGCCACATATAGCTCGTTAGCGAATTCAAAATATGTATTAAATCTGTTGTTTCTACTGAAAGAGGAACTGCTGACCCTCATTTCCATACCGTTTTGGTTGATTTTATGATCCTTAAGGTCAAGGTTTCTTTGTAGTGTCTTTGAAGTATAGATTCTAGGTACTGACGTTGTTTAACATTTTAATTTCGTGTTATAGTGTACTTTTATTTATCTTTGTAAATTATTACTTTAACTGTTTAGTCTATTTTTGGTAGTATCCATTTGACCTGGCTTGGTACTTATACATCCAGTCATTGTGTTATTGTGTTATGGTAAATTTTTGTATTCTTGTCTTTCGTTTTTTGCTTTGTGCTTTGTCTATTTGCCTTTTTGTTTTTCTTTGTCGACATATTTGTTTGGTTTTATAGTTATTAAGATTATAACACAATGTTGACTACTGTACCCCTATTGTTGACATTTTTACCTATTATGTCTGCTTGTTTTTGATCACACATTGTTGTCAATATAATGGAGTTTTAAGCGACTGTCAAACAAGTGAGAGGTTCAGCTAGATATAAAACCAGGTTTAATCCAACATTTTTAACATAAGAAAATGCCTGTACCAAATCAGGAATATAACAGTTGTTGTCCATTTGTCGATGTTTTTGAGCTTTTAATTTTAAACAGACTTTCTGTTTTAAATTTTCCTCGGAGTTCGGTATTTTTGTAATTTTACTTTTGATCTTATTACTGTCACATTTTGTGTCATGGTTTGTATTGTCAATTGTATATTATTTCCTTTTGGGGCATATGATTGAGAAACGCGTTCGATTGGAGATGAAACAGTAATTTTTTTATACTGTCAGTATATTTGCATTTTTTTGTGCAAGGAGCATTTTAAAAAGTTTATAAATTATATTTATACCAAATTATTGACACTGACGAAAAATATTGTTAAGCCGAATTATTAATAATACAGGTACGTTTTGGTCTATTGATTTAATCCCAAATCTTGAACATCATAATATAAAACAAAACTCGATACTCAATAGATGTGACTGTGTATATATACATCCCAAAATGAGTGTAAAATAAAACTGCTAGTATTTCTTATTGATACCGTTTGGATGATGTACATTTAGTTCCTTTATCCAAAACCTTTCCCGAACCTGTCGCTGGGCATCACCTTAGTGAATGTTCTGTTCAATCACTAGGATTTTCATGCCGTTAAAGTTTATGATCCGACTGTCTGAAATGCTGACTAACTGGGAGAAGTGGCTTGTTAGAGATATCACTCCTATGGCCATTGAGGCGTTTGTGGCAAGGCTGCTTTGACTCACAAACATATTGGAGGCCACAAACCGAACATTCTAGAATATAAATAACATTCATACTTTTGCAGGTTACATTTCAAAATATCCTATAGTTATTTTCGGTTGCATTACTGTGAAAAGTTGATGAGTGATGCATCTGTAGGCAGCATTTGTAGCTTTTTCATCATACGAACGACATTCTGCAGAAGTACTTCTATGACCAGACACTTCAGCCCGCACCAGCTGGTTCCGCAGACTATTGGGTTGCCTAAAAGCTATCATGGGGGGCTTTGAAAAAAATTTGGACAATTTGGAATTCTTTTCAACTGTTTTCTAATGCTCACGAATGACACCGAAGCTGTTTTTGAGAGATGGGTGGTACGTAAGAACTCAGGAGTCCTCTTTTTTTCTTTTTCTTTTTGTATTTTAACAGTTTACTCCTTGGAATAGTTTCCGCTTTCTGAAAAACTTTTTTGAATAGTTCTGTGTTTATAGCCCCTTCTCTTCAAGCGGGTTTGAAGTTGACTCGTTTTTAGTTGTTTCTGTGTTTGAACATATTCGCTTGACTCTGAGTGCCTGACTGCACGGGATGCTCTTAGTACAATGAGCAAAATGGCAACTTTTAGGGGACAGGTATTGGTGAGTATCAGTAGGCTTAAAATATAGGTCTGTGGATATAATGCCATCTGTAAGGGAGCTGGAATTATCGAGGAAAGTGATTTAAGGTTTAGATCATTCATGAGTAAATTTGATACTTGGATGTATGTTGTTGGCATGAGTGATGAATGTATCGAAATCCTCGTCATTTTTATTCCATTTCATATCCACATCATCTATAAATCTAAACCAGAAAAGCAATTTTTCGATTGAAGATTCAAGGAGTTGTTTTTCTAATTTGCCCATGAATATGTTGGCATATGATGGAGCCATTTTGGTACCCATAGCATTTCCATTAACTTGAAGATAATGATCTCCATCAAAGGTGAAGTAGTTGTTCTTTAGTACCAGCATGAGCATTTTGAACAGGCATTCAGTAGGTGGATATTTTACTGGTCGGGAATCCCAAACTTCTTTACATGCATCAATGCCATCTGCATGTGGAATATTCGTGTAGAGGGAGGTGACGTCCATAGAGACAAGTGTCGTGTCGGAGGGAAGTAGATCTAAGGCCTGCATTTTTCTAAGATAATCGGTTGTGTCTTTGATGTGAGATGGTAAGTCTTCAACATGTTGACGAAGATGGAAGTCAACGAATTCCGAGATTTTTTCCGTCGGATGACCGTTCGCTGAAACAATAGGTCTTCCTGGGTTATTGGCCTTATAAATTTTTGGTAAAAGATAAAATCTGCCCGGTTTTGGATTTTCTGGTTTCAAATATTCAAGAGTTTTTTATCGAATAAAACCATCGTCGTACATTTCTGGTAAACTATCAGTTATTTCTCTGCTAAAAGATGTAGGGTCAGAGTCTAGTTTTCGGTAGAACCTTGCATCGCCAAGTTGTCGTTCAGCCTCTTGAATATAGACAGCTATATCCATGACAACCACTGCACTGCCTTTGTCTGCAGGTTTAATGACGACGATATTGTTGTTGGAACGTTAGTTAGTCAGTGCAGTTCGTTCTTCATGGGTACGATTGTCAAAAGGTTTATTGTTTTCTCTGGTATTTCTAATAATGTCCGACTTAAAATAATATATATATAGTATATGTTATTCAGGTCTCAGACAGGGTATATAATGTGACATTCCCGGCTTGGAGTTTATATTCCCTGAGCCGTAGGCTAAGGGGATATAAACCCTAGGCCGAGAATGTCACACTATATACCCTGTCTGAGACCTGAATTACACATATATTACGGTTTACCCCTGCCTTTATGTTGTTTTTTTTTCAGTACAAGGTATTTTCTTAACATTCACAATGCAGTATACATATTCATTACCATGTTTTTTTTTTTTTCTTCATGTAGTGTGTAATTCATATAAATGCATTTTTTTCATCTTGACAAACATTTTTGTCGTTAAGAATATATTGTCAACAAAGTTTTTAGATTTCTTGTTTACTGTTACAAATATAGTGAAAAACCCAACCTGATATTTTCCGCATACGTGAAGGAATTTGCTGTGAAAATAAATTGATCGTGTATGTTATCATTTATAATAATATTTAAAAAAATTCATTTTAAGTTTTTAGAGTGTAAAATGTATTATTGACGGATGCACATGATTATTTTCCCTCGGTGAGCCTCTGACATTCTTGTAGTGTTCCGTGTAGCTTCAGACTACGTCATATAGTAACAAGTGTTATGATGACGTTTTTGGGGTTCCATTTGGGGTAAAAAAACGTCGTATATAGCCTGGCAGTTTCCTGAATATATACTGACATCTCTGTGTTGTTATCCAATCATAAAACTCGACACATTTGTAATCCGTAATATATATAATTACTAGCACAACAATATTAAATCTGCAAATTTGCGGAAGCAAATTTTTGTTCTTCCATCTTCCTTGGGATTCGAATATGCTATTTGGATATCGAGACAACACCGCCTGCACTGTGTCCATCGCTCTAGACCATTCGGCCACTTAGACTAAACTATATAATATAAATATATATAAATCAACGTGCAGTCATCTATACGTTCTGGTATTTCACATCACATTTTTTTGTGGAAATATTCTATACAAGCACAAAAATGTCGCCATTCACCGCAAAAGCTAACCAAAACTTTAGACAGACTTATTCAGAAGGGATATAGTTACGATACTGTTGCCAAGTGATTAAAGATGGCATTTTTTTAAAACTATTATTGATTCACTCATAGGGTCTTTTCGTCGGAAATAAACACATTTATTCTAAAACCAGTTGTTGGCATAATACGGGTTATGCTCTTCTCGTATGTTTTATGATGGTATGATACTAAAACCCCTTACGGGAGTGATGGTGCTTGGTTTTCATATAATGAAGACATAATATTTTAATCAGTATAATTGAGGTCTGGAGTTGGCATGTCAGTAACTGCTAGTAGTCCTTGGCTAATTTATGTTGAGCATTGTCATTTTGCTTAGTTTCTTCTGTTACCTTATTTAACATCGGACTCTGACTTCTTTTGAACTGAGTTTTTACTGTGCGTATTGCTCTGTGTTTTTTTATTCCACATTTGCTAGAGGTACAGGGGAATGTTGATATATCACAAAACATGTTAAAACCCGCTGCATTTTTGCGTTTGTCCCAAGTCAGGGACCTCCGGCCTTTGTTAGTCTTGTATGTTTTTTTTTGTGTTTTTTTTTCATTTTGTTTCCATTTATATGTTTCGGAGTTTAGTGTGACACCCATTTTCGATGAACTAGTAAACATTATTTTTAGGGGACAGCTGAAGCGATTTTTTCGCTGTGTTGAAGATCAATAGGTGGCCATGGGCTGTTTTCTGCTCTTTGGTCGGGTTGCTGTCTCTTTGACGCATTCCCCGTTTTCATTCTCAATTTTATGATGCAATTTTTAAGGTGTGCATTACTGGCCAGTAAATAAAGATCAAAATTATTTTATTAAAACCTACATTTATTGAAAAAAAGTATCCCATAATGTATCATAAACATATATTTTGAAATTTACTTAAACAAATTTCTTTCAAACATATATAAATGTATTTTTTTTAATTTTAAAGGTAATGAGATATGTGTTTTGTATATATTTTTAAACCACTTTGTTGTTAACACATTGACCAAAACGTTCTTCTAAATATAAAACCACATGCATGGAAGATGATCTTAAATATAAAAAAAGAGCATCGCTCTGAAGATTCTATGACGAAACCAACTTTATTGTTGTTTCCAACAGCTTCAATTTAAAACGTTATATTTAACACAGTTAAAGAAAAGAAAAATCGAAAAAATGAAGAAAAATCTCTCTGAATATATATGTAAGAACCACAAATCTTTGTTGCATTTTCCACAGCTTCGTGTAAAAACACATTACACAGTAAGCAAATTTAATAATGTAAAATAAAATATATCCCATTGAAATGCTGAGCCAGTATTCAAAACAACTCCATTATTATTCCATTTCCACATATTCATTAAAACATATATAATACATATTAAAACAGTATTTGTAGAAAACATCCCTCTGAACAACATATTTATTTCAAATCAATTTAATTGCATTTTCAAAACTTTTTTGTTAAAACATATAAAAACCAAGAAGAGAGACTTAACAAATAAATACAATAGAAACATTCATCTGAACATTTATATTGGAAACAAAATCACATTTGTATATTCTGCAGTTTCACGTTAAAATCTAATATACAATACATGTGTAATACATATTAAAGATAGTTCAAGTTTGAAGTAAAAACGTCCTGCGGAATATATATGCATTGAACAAAACTTCTTGCATCTCAAAACGTATTACATGGCACATGTAAATAAAATTTGATGTAAAAAAAATGTCCCTCTGAACATACATATTTTACAACAAATCCATTATTTATTTCATTTTCCCCTAGGATGTTGTTACAATATGATACATAACCCATACATGTTATAAAATAATTAAAACAAATCAACCCACTCAATATATTTAAGAAACAAACCCACACATTTTTTTTTTTAAATTTCCATTCCATTTTGGTGATCATTAATTCCTTTGAGCACCACTCTCCCTAATTCAATGCTTTCGTTTTTCTCCATCCTGTATGTTTATAAGGAAAAAGAAGAAATAATATTATTGCTGTTGTTCCTGAATATGAGATTTCATATCACTTAGCTTTTTAAATAATTTTTAGATGACAAATCCAACGAGTCGAGGAAGAATGGACACCATCAATATAAAAAAGGAGAAGGAATAACAATGAAAGAAAAACAAAGTTAACCTAACACTTGTTCTGTTAACTCGCCAGTTAATACAAATAAAAGAGTGAACATTTCTGAGCTGATTGCGTCTGTCTGCAATGGCGGCTTAAATTAAATGAACTCATTAACATTAACGGTACAATTTTACTGCACCAGGTGCGGATTTTGACATTTGATATCTCTTCGGTGATGACGGAGGCCAGAATATTTGAAACTTTAAAACAAATTTATCATTATTTAGAATGAATGATTCAGAAACATTTTAGATATCATTACAAATACTAATTTCAAGTATGTTGAAAAGTACCTTTAAAATGCATTTTTTAAGGGAAGAAAATAAATTGTATGCTTTCACTCCTATCTTGAGATTATCGTTAATAATTATGAATTGTCCCTTTCACCTATCCTTTGATTCAATATATAATTATAAGGGTGAAGGTTTTCTTCTTACTGGATAGTTAATGTTTTTTACGTGTAAATATATACAGAAATGTCCTTTTAAATAATTAAATCATTTTGATATTTTTTTTTGTAATTGAAATTGAATTTTGAATATCAATAAAACAGATTACATATTCAGCGGATCGCTATATTTGACAATAGGTAAAATGATAAATGAAATGTCAGGGATTCCAAAGGTCAAACAAGAAACACTTAACTAAAAAAGACAAACAACAGTATACAAAACACCACATAGAAAAATCGAAGACTGAGCAACACGAAAAACCAAGGATGATCTCAGGTGCTCCGAAAGGGTAAGCAGATCCTGCTCCACATGTCACTCTGGTTGTGTTTCTTTTGTACCTTCAAACCGGGTTCTAAGTCTTATTTGTGTGTGTCTCTGTCATGTATGTTCTCCCATTTATTTGTATTGTAGACCTGTCATGTAATCTTGTCATTTTAATGTTATATTTAACATTGCCATAAAAGCGTGAGGTTTGGCTAGCCACAAAACCAGGTTCAACCCAACATTTGTTCTTGAAATGTCCTGTACCAAGTCAGGAAAATGGCCATTGTTAAATTATAGTTTGTTTCTGTGTGTGTTGCATTTTAGTGTTGTGTTTCTGTTGTGTCGTTGTTCTCTTATATTTGATGTGTTTCTCTCAGTTTTAATTTGTAACCGGATTTGTTTTTTTTTCTCAATCGATTTATGAATTTCGAATAGCGGTATACTACTGTTGCCTTTATTTGTATGTTACTTTCGACAAAAATATTTCTTGGGATCTTATGTCTCGTTCTTAATAGATTTAGAGATTCATTTTGCATGCTTAAATCAGTTCAAAACTATATTTCTATGCAGACAATTAAAGAAGGGACAACAGTATAAATGGCCATAGTAGTAAAAGAAGACCAAGGCGACCCGGATATTAAATGCAATATTTACCTGATTTTTTGCCTGATTTCTTGCCTGATTTTTTGCCTGGTTTTTGCATTTTCCTGTGAATACAATGACTAAACATTTAATGAAAATGACAAGTAAAATTAAATTAAACTGACAATAGCAATGAAGTAAAGGATAAGACTGAATAAACATGTCTCATCTATATATAATCACATTAATACAAATGCATTTTTAGTCAGGATTGATATGTCTTATGCAGATGAATAACTATTGTCACGGTAACTTCTCTCATACGAAACAAAATATACTGACCCTTTATAAAAAACCTCATAACACTTCATGTTTGAATTTGATTTTGCAATGTTTACACCTTATTTTTCTTCTGGTATTTTTGCGTATTGTTCTTAATGTAAATAAAATTCAAAGGAAGCTCACATAAGTCTGTCTAAATACTACGGTAAAAAGCTCTTTACGATTTCGACACCTTATTTGCAAAGCTGGTTCGGCATATGTTCATATACTACTAGTCTACAATCTAGACTCATATTGATTGATTTTTCATTGCTCAATAAACATCTAATGCCATATATTCCATGCAAATTCAGGATGACTAAGAAATTAGTACAGTAGGTATGTTCTTCAAACTATGAAGAATCGAAATCTGAACTATCACTGTATACGCCAAATTTGCTATTCGGCTGTCCTAAAACGGAAACCTTTAATTCAATAGTAGAGTTGGGTTACAGTCTGTCATATTTGACTTAGGTTTATTGTTTTGTCACTATTAAGGCCGTTGATTTTTACTCTTTTGAGTAGTTTAACATTTTAAACGCCAAGGTTTTAATAAAGGCATTTGGTTTTACTCATTGCTGAATACCGTATGATGGCCTATATTTGCTTACATCCACGTCACTTAGAGTCAGGTGGTTAGTTATTTCATTTGCAAAACCTTTATTCTCTTCGATCGGTACTGTGGGTACATAGTCTTTTGTTAATTGTCAATCGTTCTTTGTGCATTTTTAGTAGGAATTAACATGTCTTATGCAGACGCATAACTATTTAGAAGTAACTTCTCTCATACGAAACAAAAAATACTGACTCCTTATGAAAACGTTATTACACTTCATATTTGAATTTGATTTTGCAATGTTTACACCTTATTGTTCTTCTGTTGTTTTTACGTTTTGTTCTTAATCTAAATAAAATTCAAAGGTAGCTCACATAAGTCTGTCTGAATACTACGGTAAAAAGCTCTTTACGATTTCGATTTTCAACACCTCTATTTGCAAAGCTCGTTCGGCATGTGTATATATACTACTAGTCTACAACATGGGCCGATATTGATTTATTTTACGTTGCTTACTAAACGTCTAATGCCAAATATTCCTTGCAAATTCGGGACGACTTAGAAATTTTTAAAGTAGGTATGTTCTTTAAAGTAGGAAGAATGGAAATCTGAACTATCACTGTATTTGCCAAATTTGCTATTTGCATGTCAAATAACAGGAACCTGTAATTTAGTGGTTAAATTGGGTTTCGGTCTGTCATATTTGACTTTTTAATAAAGGCATATGGTTTTGCGCATTGCTGAATACCGTATGATGGCCTATAGTTGCTTACATCCACGCCACTTAGATTCTTGTGGTTAGTTATCCCATTTACAAAACTTTTCTCCACTCCGATCGATACTGTGGGTACATAGTCTTTTGTTAATTGTTATTCGTTCTTTGTGTCAATCTGATGAAACATTTTTCAACTGGTGTTTTTAATTTGTTCGTATGCTATGCTGTTACACTGCTATCTCATGTTAGGGGGAAGTTTGATCGCTCGCAAACATTGTTACCATCTCCACATTTCATGTGTATATCCAAAGTAAGTAACCTGTAATTCAGTTGGTCATTGTCAATCATTTTTTTTTATTGTAATGTACATAAATCAGGCAAATGGTTGTATAGTTTCAATTATTTTACGGCTTGCTATGTGGTATATGTCTTCCTTATTGTTGAAGACCGTACGGACATCCTTCATCTTTTGATTTATTATATTCATGTTACAGCTTTTGATTATCCGTTTTTTTGTCATATCGTCATGAATTTATATCACTTACGGAATATGTAAACAATGGTAAGATCGAATTATTATATAAATATTTCAAATATTTCCAATATAAGTACCTGGGCAATCCTCTAAGTTACACAATGATGTCTCCATACGAGGTCCAACACAATCCTTCCCATCTTCAGACGGCTCAGGACTGTCACATGTACGATTTCTACTTCCTATACCATTTCCGCACGTGACGGAACTGGTTGGGTTTGACCAAGATCCCCATTGGCCATCAACTTTTTAGACAAAATCATTGTTAAAATTACCTTAAGAATGAAAACAACACTTGTTGTATTTGAGCCTTACAAATATTGCTTTTGAAAACCTTTTTCTAATATTGCCTGTGGATGTATTTTATGTACTCCTTATCAAAACTTAAAAGTTAATATTATAATTTGAATTTCTGCTATGGTCATTTTGATTAAGAGAAACTTTTTGGTTTATAACTTTGAAAGGCTCAGACTAAATCAAATCGGGAATAATGTTATTATTATTTGTATGCAACAGAAAAAAAATGTATTTTCCTTTGATTACAATAACAAAACATATATTGAAAATGTCAAGTAAAATAGAATTAATTAACAATAGCAATGAATTAAATGATTAGACTGAATAACATGTCTCATTTATATATAATCACATTAATACAAAACGCATTTTAGTTACAATTAACATGTCTTATGCAGATGAATAACTATTTTCAAAGTAACTTCTTTCATCCGAAACAAAATATACTGACCCTTTATAAAAAACTTGTTGTTATTACGTTTTGTTCTGAATGTAAAAAAAAATCAAATGTAGATCACATAAGTCTGTCTAAATACTACGATAAAAAGCTCTTTACGATTTTGATTTTAGACACCTTTATTTTGCAAAGCTGGTTCGACATGAGTATATACTACTAGTCTAAAATCTGGGCCGATATTGATTGATGTTTCGTTGTTTACTAAACGTCTAATGCCAAATAATCCTTGCAAATTCAGGACGACTTAGAAATTAATAAATTAGGTATGTTCTTGAAACTAGGAAGAATGGAAATCTGAACTATCACTGTATACGCCAAATTTGTAATGTGCCTGCCCTAAATCAGGAATCTGTAATTTAGAGGTTGAGTTAGGTTGCAGTCTGTCATATTTGACTTTCGTTTATTGTTTTGTCATTAATCAGGCCGTTGATTTTTACTCTTTTGAGTAGTTTCACATTTTTTCACGCCAAGGTGTTTCATTGCTGACTTTATGTTATTGGTTTTGCTCATTGTTGAATACCGTATGCTGGCCTATTTTTGCTTACATCCACGTCACTTCGACTATAGTAGTTATTTGTCTTATTTGCAATACCTTTTTTCTCCTTGATCGGTATTGTGAGTACTTAGTCTTTTGTTAGTTGTTTTTCGTTCTCTCTGTCAATCTGACGAGTCAAACCTTTTTCAACTCATGTTTACATTAGTCCGTATGCTATGCTGTAACATTACTGTTCCATGTCAGGGGGAAATTTGATTTCTCGGAAACATGGTTACCCTGTCCATATTATATTTGTCTATCCAAAGTCAGTAACCTATAATCCAGTGGTTTACGTTGGTTGTCATATTTTTTGTTGTTTATTGTCATGTTTGCTGAATTGTATTTCATTTCCGTAGAATCTGTTTTATTGAATAGTTTGAATTAACACTTTTTCACAAAACAAGAATGAAAATTGTTGTATTTAAGTTTTACAAATATTGTTTTTGAAACCATTTTTCTAATATTTTCTGTTGATGTATTTTGTCTACATCTTATCAAAAGTTACAAGTTAATACTAAATTTGAATTTTTGTTTTTGGTCATTAAAATAAAGAGAAAATTTCTGGGTTATAACTTTGTGAAAGGCTCACACTTATTCAAATTGGGATTATATTATGATTTGCATGCAACAGAAAACACATTTGCTGCTCTCATTAGTTGACATTATTAGCATTTCTTCCCACCCTAGCACCAAATCTCGAAACTGCGCATGTGCGTGAACTGCAATCCACGGGCGTTCTTATTTTCTTTTTTACATTCACTTCACGAAAAGACAGTATAATGAGAACCCTCCCTCATTTCATAGTGTGTACCAAACAGACAGTATAATGAGAACCCTCCCTCATTTCATAGTTTGTACCAAACAGACAGTATAATGAGAAACCCTCCCTCATTTCATAGTGTGTACCAAACAGACAGTCAAATTAAAAGGTAAATATTTGTAGGGTACTTCATATCTTTATTACATGAGTTTCATATGGACCGATACCTAATAATAAAGTTATCATCATCCTTACTCAGAATGTAGTTTGGTTTTGATCTGATTCAAATTGAAATTTTATTCGTAAATTCTACGTCATATTGATTTTTTGTCAGTAACAAGTCATTCTTCGTGTGTGCGCTGGGGAACATGTTGTTATAATTATTGGCATATCACCTTATTATGTTTGTTTGGGTTGCTCACCGAATTGTGTCAATATGATGGAACTATAATCAACTGGCATACAAGTTGGATGTTGAGCAAGCTGTAAAACCATCTTCAACCATGTTCAACCCTACAATTTTCTTCGGAAATTGCCCGTGCCAAGTCAGGAATATGACAGTTGTTTTTCACTTGTTTCGTTAATTGATAACGTTTGATTTTGTCAGGTTTTATGGAAATTCTCCTTTTTGAATTTGCATTGCACATGTTGCAGTTCGGTATTTTTGTTAACTTGTTTTATATATACACGTATAAGTTGTGTTACTATTAACTTCTGGAATAAAAATAACTTGTTTCACAATATCCATGTGTTTGTATTGAAAATTTGTAAACACAAACAATGTTTTGAGAAACTCTTGATTCTGTATGTTTTTGAATAAATTGGTGGTTGGTTTGGTGCAGAAGGTATGTTTATATTTCCTTATTTAATCAAATAACAAACTTGCACAAAACTAACTCTTCCATTTCGATGCATATTCATTGATATATTCATAAAACAGAACTGCCACTGTGCATTTCAAATATATATTATATATATTTACATATATATATGTAAGGACGACTTGTCCCAAAAACAATACCTATAAGTTAAAAGTCACTTGTGTAGGAAAATGTTGAATAATATACCTGGACATTTTGATGAGTTGAACTGATCTATAAATTCTGTCGTTGTGTTAAAATCAAAACACGTTCCACCCAGTGTGAATTCGTCTGTTTGATTAGATACCCATTCAAATAAATCTATCATTGTACAGCATTTCAAGGGATTGTCTCTCATGCCCCTGAAAAGATTCTCTAACTTACAATTTAAAAACGTTACTTCTATGGATAAACCATAATACCTTCTTCTTTGTACACCTTACATATTTACCATAACCGTTATAAAAGATAAAACTGAATGACTTATTCTGTCGAATGCAAACAGAGATAAACACGATTAAAAACCTATATCAAAATAAGTTCACAAACTGTAAAGGATTGCTTCAACTGTTCATCAACCTTCTAAACAGCTGCTATTCTTATCTTATGATCTGAAACGTTTGATCATAAGAAATGTTAAGTCCTATGATTATTTTTTATAAGTGCATCCCTCACAATTTGTTTAGCAGTGTTTACTGAGTTTTGCTTGTAGTGAGTCTAATTATGTTACGTTTCAGATAATTTAGTGTTAATTATTCTCCAAATACAGCTATTACATGAGAACCAAACTAATCTTAATATATCAAGAGTGAAGTATCTGAGGATTGCTGCAGTTAAGTGAAGTCGAAAGACTAAGCATGATCTTTTAATTTATTTTTCTACCTGGTATAAATCAGAACTTTTCGTTCGACAATTAAGTTTGGATTGAACCTTATTTTATGTGAGCATATAAATCACAGGTGACCTAAAGATAAGTCAATATTACATACAACGTTGTTATATTTGTCGTTGTTCCAAATATATTGGCAGATATTGTTGTCAACATATTCATTTGAACAAGTCTACAATTAAAAGGTAATGAAAGTTAAATACTTGAGAGTAAAAGATAACAATTTCATCTTCCGATGTTTTATATTTTTTTATAACAGTAGGTAGTTGGGAAGTAAAACATATAATATATTATTATATTATATTTTAAGCTTTAATAAATTTTATTCCGAAATAACCATTTTATCCGATTTTTCGCATTACTGTTGAATGCCCTTGTAAAGTGAAAATTATTTTCAGATTCTCCACAATTTACCATGCTCATTCAATTTGCTGTATTATATATGGATACAGTTGTTCACACCTATATGTGTTGCAAAGTTTGTAACTGTAAAATGGACTGTTGCAACAGTTGAGAATATAAAATAACGGATACAACAATTGTGATAGTCTGATTCGGTAGATTATCTTCAAATTGTCGCACCCACAATCCCCGTCCTCTTTTTCCTGAATGTGAGCTACCGAATTAGACTTAACACCGGGTTTGTATTCACATGAGCAACACGACGGATGCCTTATATGGAGTAGGATTTGCATACCCTTCAAAGAACCTGAGATCAACCCTATTTTTTCTTGTGTTCGTTTTGCTCAGTCTAAAGTGTTTCTTTGTTGTAAATTGTTTTTTTTTTGGGGGGGGGGGTCGTATTTTGCTTCTGTTTTGCATTGTAAGTTTTTGACTTAAGAGTTTGAATATCCCGTCGGTATCTTTTGCCTCTCGTTTGCAAATATCAAACTTTTAAAAATCTATTGGGAATCAAATGTCATTTGCCTTCTGTATTCGTAATGAATCTTATGTTCCGTTTTGGTAAAAATATTTTGTGTTATTATGGTTATATCTTAGAGAAATATTTTATAACTTTCGAAATGATATACCCAAAGAATTGAAAGAAAAGACTTCTGCAAAATTAACGAGAAAAAATCATAAGAAAATATAACACTTCAAGCATAATACTAATCATTAATGCATTTTTATATATATCTTCCTGGTAAGAAAGGAAACACTCCTATCGCAACCCATTATTAAACTCACACAATATTAAGGTTTAGGTTTGATAAAAACAACCCTGCTGGTAACCTGGTTAAACTGTTTGAATTTAAGGATCTGCAAGAGCAAGAATAATCTTTATATATTATTTTTTTTCACTCGAGTATTTTTCTCCTAAATGACAGAATTATCAACTGAGGATTTCCTCATATGATATCTCTCATAATTTAAAAACCCTTTTGACCCAAATTATTTTTGATTATCTTTAAAATGAATACTGTAAATTACAATAAGGCAGATAAGGTATACACCAATTTTATCAAAACTTTGCAAATGGGCACAAAATATCCACATATTTTTCATACAAATATCCATATATTATTCATACAAATATCCATATATTTTTCATACAAATATCCATATATTTTTCAATCAAATATCCATGTTTCTAATCTTTTTGTACATTCCATATATTGGTGTTTTTCCTAAAACAGAAACATCCATACGTTTTCTCATATACAAAACAATATATACTATATATACTATATATGAGACAAATAGTATATATTTATATATATATGCTCATAAATTGGTAAAATTACTATTAGCAACATGTATATATATGATACTGCGAAGATCCCTAAAGACTTTTTGTTTACCTTTTCAGACCATGTGATTTAAAATTAGAATTTAAAATCATTTTAAATTAAGTAATATATATCCCTCAAGCAAAGCTCTGATTCCTTGTCCAGATTTGGCTATATTTCAAGTCATTTCTGGTTTGATCAGCTCTGCAATCTTTTTCGAAAGTTTTTTTTTCTTTAAATAGTTCGGCCCGAAATTCACTGAATAGTTATTTATTGTCGAAATGAGCATCGGGTGAAATTAACCTGTCAATGTTATTCAAACAAGAAAAAGTTTACACTCAAAACACTTTTAATTTTGAAATCACTGAATGGATTTGTTGCCACTATTGGTCAACGGACACAAGTTGTCATTTATTTATGCAACTTTAGGAGAGAAAAACAAAAATAATGAACTCCAAGGTAAATTCAAAAGGGGAAGTTCAAAACAACTGACCAATCAAACGCTTGCCTGCAAAAACGACAGGAACGAATTAAAAAACAAATATATTTTTCCTGACTTAACACAGGCATTTCCGGTAGCAAGTACTGCAAAATATGCATCAAAGCCACACAACACAACTGACCTAAATTTTCACACAAACATATTAATGAATTTGACATAGACGACAGCTCTTGTAATTGAATTTATATACATAATGACATATACACTTTCCAGATAAGTAAAGTAAAAACAAATACAAAACATAAAAAGAAAACAACATTTATTAATTTATTTAGACCTCATGCGTCTGAATCGCACCTCTGGTTCCGTCCGCATCAGGAACGCCAAAAGCACAAAACAACAGCAAGCTGGATGTACAAGTACCGTGCCACGTCTAGAGTCGTTCGACAAAAAGGAGTTTAATAGTACGAAAACAAATAAAAAGAAAAAAAGTAAAGTAAATAAAAAGATACACAACATCAGGACCTGATGTCCATAAGTTGCACGTCTGTAAATATAGACAATGCAATTTCCCATAGGAACTCCTTTTACGGCTCAAACTGTCCCACTTTTATTATAAAGTTTCGTAAAAAATTATATCCTAGAATGGAAAGTTCATATGCACTATAATTTTTTTCCAAAGGTCAAAATATAGGGCTGTATGGCATATTTTCAACAGTTATATGCTCCGAACTTTTAAAATTCTGTAATATCCCTCCCTTAACGTTGGGTCTTCCTGAGAATTCAATTTTGCCGCTACCCATGTGTTTTTATACTGGTAACATTCCAGAGTTATCTATGAATAATATATATCTCCCAAAAAGAGGCGTGGTTTGTGAAACATTTGTATTTATAAAGTGCAACTTATAGTAATATTTATTCAAATAGAAACATCTTGAAAAACACTTTTTCTCACAACAATACTTATTAATCAGAATTTTAGCCTAAACGAAATCACTGCATATACTCTAACTTTTCTTTTACAGTACAATTTATAACCCTCCCCCCCCCCCCCCCCCACCCCTGTTTCAAATTTTTAAGTATGGAAAACAAGGCTTTAATTATTGTCAACTTACCCTATGTGCATGTTTTCTGACATGAAATGCCTAGAACCTATATGAAACTATTCTGATACAAATTGAAAGCATTTCAGAATACTATAAATGTAGAGTTTATTAGTTTATCATTCCATTATTCAAGATTATAGCTATATCCAATCCTGCATTTGTCTCCAGTCCGAATCTTACTGTATGGCTTTGCGTATTTATCTATAAAAGTTCACAATGTCTGCCTCAAATGGTCAGATTAGAATTCTTGTCACACTAATATCATCTCTTACCATATATCTAACATAATTTGGCTAATATATTAACTAGAAATGTTAAATAAAGGCAACAGTAGTATACCGCTATTCGAAATTCATAAATCGATTGAGAAAAAAATAAACAAAGCCATATTTGCAAAATTTGTATGTATGAAGTAACCAGTCTGATACATGAATTTACTAAACATTTTATAGAACTGACTGCTAAAATCTGTTTGTGCATATCTTTAAAGCACATTTATTTTTTTTTTCTATACAAAAGACCTTTATAATAAGAAAATCATAGCCTTTACAGGTTAAAATATCTGTTTTATAAGGGTTTTCTCTATGGGTTTTTTTGCCACCGGGACCTCAAATTCGCTAAATAATTCTGCTATCTCTGTGAATATAGAATATTTAGTACATTTTCAGGATATAACGCAAAATTATTAGTTTTATTGAGGTATTTTTGTATCTCTAGCGTGTATAAGTTTATGCCACGGTCACAAGAAAGCACATTCAGTTGTTACGGCTAACTCATGGGTTTTCGACAGGACAAACACACCCCAATAACAATATTCATCAAGAATCTATGAGTTTCAATGACTGCGGAGAGTAAATATAAGCAATTCTTAACAATTCATATTACAATGTTATAAATTTACTTTACATACAGGGCTTTAAGTAAACTAGGTATACTGTAAACTGTTACTTTATGCTGAGTCATCATAGTTAAGGCCCAGAATTTTCTCAATATTAATGAAATATTTATAAAACTTTATATTTGAGTTAATTTCATTAAAATCTCTGAAGATAAACCGAATTTGGTGAAGTTTCACATGTTCTCTTTTTTCACCCAATATGGTTGCAATTTTATAAATATAGACTATGGGAACTCCTTTTACAGCTAAAACTGTGTCACTTTTACTATGAAGTTTCGAAAAAAATAATATCCTAGAATGGAAAGTTCATATGCACTACATTTTTTCAAAGGTCAAAATATAGAGGTCTGCGGCATATTTTCAACATGTATATGCCCCCAACTTTTAAGAGTTTAAATTCATACTAAAATTCTGTACTACCCCTCCCGTCACTTTTATTCTTCCTCAGAATTCAATTTGGCCACTTTCCATGTGTTTTTATACTGGTAACATTTCCGAGTTATGTCTCTATGAGATAAAACATAGAGATCATATCTGGCTACCAGTAGGTAAACAAAACAAATTATCTATGAATATTATATATCTCAACAAAAGAGACGCGGTTTGCGAAACAGTTGTATATACAAAGTTCAACTTATTATTTAAGACCATTCTGTATTATGTGTAAAGAAGACACAAGATTGAAATCGTCTCGTTTGTCCTAGATTCTTGTACTGATTGGACCGCTGTATTCAAATTTGAGGTAAATGTCTAGAAATAAGGCGATTGAAGCTGTTGTTCTTTTAAATTTAAGGAAAACATTTCATTAACAAATATTGTGATCAGAATCAAAGTGTTTGTTTTATGAAACATAATAATAGTGTCGTAGAATGATTTTCCAATAATACAACAAATTCCCCCTTTTAACGCCACCACATGTTTCAGTGACATTCTATGTCAAAAATCGATAGTACTGAAATATTTTACATGTTTTAGTGTTAATGTCAAATAAATTCTTTATTTATTCATGGTAAATTTGGGATCTCTCTAAAACATGAGGTGCATATTTTTTGTGGAATCACAGTGCAAAATGTTAAAGCTAAGACAAACTAGATATCAAACTCGCCTCTTGATACGCTGATATAACTGATTATGTCATTTTTACAAACGGCATACAAGTAAATAATGGTAAAGTAAAATTCTTTACGTAGTATAATGAAATACTTGCATTACTTCCAATGACACAAGATCATTAAATGCATCGGCTGCTATATTTGAAATGCTGTTACGGTTTAAATTTCTAAAATATAAAAATAAGGAGATGTGGTATGATTGCCAATGAGACAACAAATTTTAAATAATTAATGAATTATAAATAAAACTAAAAACAATATTTTGTCGCGAACAAAATGTTGCGATACGTTTGAAATCAAGTTCATTTGTGCATAACAGTCTTCTAACGAACTTAGAGCCTAATTGGATAAATAATTTTTACGATAACAAAAAGATACACTTTATTACATAAAAAAATGAACAACACGTAATAAATTTCATGCGTCCGAAGCGCTTTTCTGGATTTACCTCCATCAGGAACGCTAAAAGCCGAATATTTGAAAGCCAAGGATGCATAAGACCCAAAACAGTTGAAGAGCTTTAAATCAAAGACGAGCTAAAATTATGAAATGATATTTCAATAAGTTGTTTTCAATTTCTCCATATTTTTATTATGTTCGTCTCATATATTTTGGTTTGAGAGCGCTGATATGGCGTTAATAAAAACGGCAAATACTTAATATAGACTTACAATTTTGACACAACGTGAGGCAAAATAAAGATGTTTATAATATTGTTTCCAATTTTCCAGCCACTATATGGAGTGTGTAGGTTTTTTAAGATTGTTATACGAAATAAACTTGACATTTATATAAAAAGAGTCATAGTGTACGGAATGGTTCTCGTTCACAATCAAACATATTTCAGACGTATATGTTTACACTTGGAAATTATGGCAGTTTTAGGTAAATTGCTGTTAGTAAAGAACCAAAAGTAATTTTAGTCTATAGTAGTAGTTTTCTTATGACTAACTTACATTATTTTAAGGAATGTTAATCCAGAAAACGAATTAGAATCAACGGTCGTAATAGAATTATTAAAAAGGCTTCTGAAAACAAAGAATAATTGAAAAATCAGATAAAAATGCAATTTTATGATAACATGATAATCCCTCGCCAATTTACAATCATCATATATTCAAAATATTGCCGTCAAAAAGGAGAGGACAGACTGCTCATAACTGGACGCATGTGTATGTGCCTGACCCGGAACATCATTGATGGCAATGCTTAGCTATATTTTAATAGTTTTGTTTTTAAAGGAATTAATTGTTGACTGATAGATCTTTGATCTTATTATGTTGAAAAACAAATTAAACAATAAATTTCGTGCGTCCGGAGCACTTTTTTGGACTTATTTTCAACAAGAACGCTCTAATCTCGACATTTGAAAGCTAGAAATGCCTATATACGCAGAAACGCTAGAAGCATTTTGACAATTTTTTATAAATTTTGACTTTGATGGAGAGTTGTCTCATTGGCACTCATACCACATCTCCTTATATCTAAACATAATGAACAAGTTCATCTAAGGAATTGCCTAATGGAGTTTAAACCTTAGTTTCTCCAATTATTACTTTGTTTATGAACGCGGAATATTGAAAAAGTATTTGGCATCTCTAAAATTCTCGAAATCTCATTGATAAGCTACCATACTATATTTTAGTACAAAATAACTTATCTGGCTGATCAAGTGTTTTAATTCGATCGTCAATGTAATTATTTTGTAGACGAAATGCGTCTGGCTGAATAAATTATAAGCCTGGTATAGTACATTATTTTGTTTAACCATTTCAATTTACGGAAATAGCAAAGATCACAATAAGGTTTGTATGGTTGTAACTATAATACACCTCATTACTTCGGAATTTTCCTTTGGATTTTTAAATGGTATGTTATATGTCTTTTTTGTAATTTCAGTGAACAAGGGTCAAGGAGGTGGGCTGATACTAAAGTATTCTAGATATCCCTCAACAGATCCATATGCAGTTCCATATGCATGCCCAAATTCAGGGAACAATTTCGGATAACTCTTATCAGATCTTTCTTTTAACTGTTAAAGACAGGCGATAGATACCAAAGGGACATTCAAACTCATAAGTTGAAAATAAACTGACAACGCCATGGCTAAATAGAAAATGACCAACAGACAAAAAACAGTACACAAAACACAACATTGAAAACTAAAGACTGAGCAACAAGAACCCCATAAACAAACTGGGGTGAGATAGGTGCTCCGGAAGGGTAAGCAAAATCTACTCCACATGTGGCACCCTTAATTTCGGAAATTGAAATTGATAATATTTGTGATACTCATTTTATACTTTTATAGATTCGTTGTGATTTGGATCTTGAATTCTTGCATTAACACCTATCGTCAACTTTTGACATTAGTATGTCTTTAGATATTTTCTGTGTTGTATGATTGCTGTTCAATTTAAACAGAAACGTTCAGGAAAAAAAACAACATAACACGCTAAGTTAAAAGATTGTGAAACACGAAACCAAAACGAATGGCAAAAAGGGTTACTAAGATTCCCCTGGAGGGTAAGCAGTTGCTTCTGATTTGCGTCAAAATCGTTGTATAATATGAAAACTTATATGGAGGTAGTATGGTTTCCAATGAGCCAATTGACCACCAGAAACAAAATGATGTAAGCAACAATTCTAATTTACTAAATCGAAAATAATTGAAACAAAAAACCAACGACTTGATTTCATATGCAAAGCAATACACGAACACAAAAATAATGGACAACCACTGAATAAAAAGCTACTGATTTTTGACAAGCATAAGCAAAATATGGCAGTGGTTAACTTGTTAGCGAGAATTCAACCCTCCGTTAGCATTGGACAGTAGTGTAATTACACAAAAAAAAGAAAAATCATATGAAAAAAACAATGACTCATCAGAAATACACAATGCACAAAAAACAATTAACAAAAGACTAAATGCACAAAATACCGATCAATGAGTATTTGCAGTTAGAGAAAGCTACTTTAAAGCAATTAAAACCAATGAAGTAATCATGTTTTCCTAACGAAAATCAATCAGTACACGTCCATTGGATTTATCTATAAAGACATGACGATTTAACTGTCTGCAAAAACATGACCTTGTGCAATGCCAAAATATAAGACATATTTAAGCCTTATATTTCTAGATCTGTATGGCTGGTTGTTTCAAAATAAACAGATTGTGCAACAGAAACCACATGCACCAAACAAAGTGAAGGTGTGGAGAAACTCGTATGCACTATGAGGATTAAAAGATGAACGTGTTATAAGCAAAATCATTACATATCTAAAAAAGGGCCGAAAGATATCAAGGGGACATTCAAACTCATAATCCAAAAATGAACTGACAACGCCAAAGCTAAAAATGAAAAAGGCAAATAACAGTGCACAACACACATAGAAAACTAAAAGACTGAGCAACACGAACCCCGCCAGAAAATATGCATAGATAATTCAGCCTGATTGTATATACCGAAAGCATAAAGCGAATTATACACAAATTCTAGGTAACACAAGTCTGAAAAATATTGTTTTCGCATAAAACAATACTTACAATGATGTAGTATTTGAAGGTATATTACCGGGTATAATATCCAAACCTCTGTTACTACAATCAATCCTTGTTCCTACGCAGTCACACATAGATAGTTGCGGTTCACTACACGTCACAGCATATGCCTCTTGTATTGCGCAGATGATTAAAACAATTGTCTCTATACCCAACATATTTCCAACCGTCTTATCGTTTTGCCTAGAATTGTAAACAAACAATGCTACATCAAAACATTAAGGAAAATGAGTTTGAGAGCGATTCAAAAAGCAGCAAACACACATATCTTCCAGTTAAACCCATCAGTATACAAAAGACAAACGCACAGTTCCTAAGAAATATCAATACATTGAGACTTCTGTTAGATTTCTTCAATAATGAAGGAAATTAGATAAGGATACGTTATTAAACATGATTGAGGACATGCTTTTGATACACCACTTACATGACATATTTATAGATTATCATTGGTTATCTCAACGAGATTGATTTTCTCGCTTGAGCCGGTACGGCGAAAGTGAGAAAAGCAATCGAGTTGAGATGACCAATGATAATCTGTTTATCGCTATTTTACCTCTGAGGACGTTGTTAATTTCCTTGACAACGGCACGTGTTCCCTTAGTTTCTAGCGATAATTTTCATATCACTCGACTCCGTTTACATAACACTCGACTCCGTTGAGAACAGAAATTATCAGTCAGCAAGATCAAAGGAAAAAATCGTAAAATAGCGATAATACTGTGTACTGATTAGAATGCATATGGTCAAAGCGATAATTTTCTACAAAAAATTAAAGACTAATGCTGTAAACATCTGCAGGTGACAGGTTGGTTTTCCATAATTATATAAAGACATTCAAAAGCAATATCGGATGTCACCAAATACCTGAAATTTCGAAAATTCAAATGCTATATCTATACATGCATATAAAAAGTTGTGCAAATATAATTAAGTTTGAAGAATTTAAGAAATTTGAAGAAAGTTATTCAATTCTACAGTTTCCAGGACAACGCCAGCCATTTGAAAATTCCAATGATGAATCGCACATCTACAAATGCAACGTAACATTTCTGCTTAGTATCATTACGATTGAGGCATTAACAAAATTGTTTTTGATTTGCAATTTTGAAAATTCCAAAGACAGATGACACATTGGCACAAGTGACGTTCCATCCAAATGAATTTTTTCTTTAGTTGATATTATATGTTATTAGAAAATACTCCTTTGATGTGTTTTCTAAAAGCTTTCAATGTCTATTTAATTTCCAGTTGCCATTGCAATTTCGGCCATACTGTATACACATCTAGATCTACACATACCATTTTCGTAAAATTTCAATTAGTTAGGTCTAAAAGGCAAAGATTTAGAATTTTCAAAAAACATCACATTCTTGCCGTTTCCATGAAAACGGTGGCCATGCTTCATATTATTAAGTCATATGCACAATAACTATTAGTGGTCATTAGCTTGGTATAGTTCCATTATCATTAGTCCAGTCAATACCTTGAACTAGCGCGGATAACAAAATTAGAGGAAAAATATTAATATTAAAAAAAAGGAAAGTCAAAATAACCCGACCTCCGTTCGGGGTGACATAATAAAACTCAACACGATTTTGCAGAATGCGTAAATAGCAATTTAGTTAAACGGCTATTCTACCTGATGGAAATAATCCTTTTTATTTTATCAGATATCTTATCAGATCATCAAAGAATGGCCAACAATGCAAAAGGGGGGAATAAAAAATCATAAGTCAAAGAACGACAGATAACTCGCTGTCTGAACGAAAAAGACAAACAAAATAATAACAGCCCACAAAACGCTAAAGCATTATGAATTGAATGACCGAAACACGATGTCTTTCTTTCATCTCACTAGTGACATTTTTTTGCGGTCTTAGATCTCAAGATTCCAGAGCTGTTGTCTTATTTGTAATTTAAACGATTGAACATTTTTCTGAATGTGGTTTAAGAAATTAAACTCTATAAAAAATACCTGGTTATCGAGGGCGTATGGTTTTAAAATAGTCCCAAGTTGGAAAATAAATTAATAATATGTTTTTAAAATCGATTGATTTCTCTCTCTGCTAGTTTCAAATGTGATTGTGAAGAAGGGTCTTACAAATAAACGAAAAGAAATACATGCATTTTCGACATGAAACGATATTTGTTATTAAAGAGAAAATACTAGTAAACTTACATAAATTGAAAACATTATCGATGTTTTTACAGATAAAATTTAAATAGATGTTCAATTATTGTTTGGCTTAGTCATACGACGTAGCTTTATATTCGTGGGGTGACAAATCAAGAAAAATTCGCTCATTTTAAGAGTTTAATGGAACGACATACCTCACGGCTTAGTATTCCGTCACTTTTTCAACTGGACGTGCAAATTGTTGTCTAGTATTAGTGTGCTATATACCTAGACAGCTTCTTTTTTAGCGTAATATCTCTGTGAATCGTGAATTTTCCCAAAAATATCTTTATATATTGTCAAATATTATTGCATAGTATTGCATAGTTAAATATTAGATATGAATATTTTTTGTCGAAAATTCCTTAGATAAAGATATTTTTTTTCATTTTCTTACATGTTGGAAGCGAGGTAATGCATCACTCATCTCTGGCAATCGGGCATAAATATGACTAGCTGAATTCGTAAAGTATTCCCAGAGCATGCTTCCATAGAAAAAATTCCTCAGTTATCAATAGGGACTACCGAGAAATTGTCCAAAATGTCAAAAAATTGAGATTTTTTTAAATCCCCCCTTTTGACCTTCGACCACAGTTTTCAAACATCTGCACCACTTTGGCACTCTACGACATGGCTTTATCAAAGGGAATTATATTTATCTTCAAAATAAGAACAATATTAGCCGTGAGATATTTCGGTCCATTAAATTTTTAAATTTACCTTACTTGTCACCGTACTATATTAAGCTTTTCAACTGGCAATGCATTAAGCTACTAGGTTCTATAGAAAATAAACTAGAGCATGTAATTTAGCGATAGTTTGAAAGCAATTGGTCGACGAATGGCAAAATGTAATTTTCTTGTATTTATAATGTCACTGGGAAAAGGGGAACACTTCTTACTGAAAAAAAGATAAATAAATATGTGAAAAAAGGTAAATTTTAAATGGTGGAAGTCCATAAAAACTGACACATTCAAGTGTGAGACTTAATCAGCCAACGGAATAATGGATTATCACTGTAATATTCCTAACTTGTTACAGACATTTTCCGCAGAAATTGATTGGTTAGATCTGGTTTTATTGCAAGCTTAAACTCCCACAATTTAATAACTAAATCTACACGATACAACCCGAAACTTTAAATTGTCAGTAATAATAAATAAAAAGAACATCAGGGGAATAGTACTATGTATTTTCAGACAACTTTGTGGATTTCATTGTAGCATCTTCGCCAAAGAATCGTATTCGTATTCTCATTGAGCCAACGTTTGAACATCAAATATAGAGTTTTTAAGACTTATGGATGAGACAGCCAATTTGGAACACCAATGTACACGTTCTAATACCCTTTATTTCTATAGCAAGCAAATTAATTAGACTGCAAATAATAAATAAAATTCAAATACAGAGTATTATGTGATACCAAAATATTTCAAATGCAAAAACTCCAGCATTGAATCTATTTTGAGTTTTATTTGTGTACAAACGCTTCGGGCTATCACATTTCTTTGAAAGCGCCAAGGCGCTTCTTACCACCAATGATTAAATGCTCAACACTTTTACGAACGTGTACATATTTTCAAATGAAACATATAATTCATATATTGACATTGTAATGCTAGAACAGGAAAATGTCCTGTTCAATCAAGCTTTAGCTAGTTTTCTTTAATTTCATTTTTAAATGTGCTGTAATTTGTCATGGAAACCACAAGTAATCATTGCCTTTGCGGTTTAAAAAGATACAAAACTTCACTATAAACTACTTCGTGATTGGTGTCTGTCAATCAAAATAGCATATCATTATTAAACGCCTATGAAGTAAATGTAGTAATCGTAAAATGGTGTTTGATGTTGAATAAATAAGTATATAATATCTATAGTGAAGTATTTATGTTACTTACTTTAAAAACGGCTCTCAAAAAGGAGAAGTCTAATTATACAATCTATTATACGTGAAGGAAGAATCCGAAGTTAAGACGTTAGCAGATACGTTATACTGTCTTTACTGAATGCTATTTTCGTATGCGTAAATGTTTGGTCAAGGAAGGGAGTTGAATACACGTACACAAACAAAATTACAAAACAATGAGTGTAACATCTTGCAACTTGTAATATCTTAGGTTGGTAGCTTGTTCATTGATTTCATTTTTTTTTGAAAAAATTATTATTTAATTTTCATTATCATAAAACTAAACAAATTGTTTTATTTTATCTTCTTATATTAGGCCAACATAAAAAATAAGGAGGTGTGGTATGATTGCCAAGAGACAACTATCCATAAAGACCAATTCATAAAAAAGATTGCAGGTTACTGTATGGTCTTCAACACAATGACAAAATCACATTCATGTACAGTATAGTATGCTATGATTACCCTTGTCATAACAAAAAGTCAAACAATTCACTACAGAATATCATCGGTCAGATATAAAATACAACCTTGAGCGAAAATCAAATATGGCAGACAACAACTTTGTTTCCTATGAACGACTACCAAACGTATATACAACAGTCTTTTTCAGGGAGGAGCAAATGATGCTAAGTGAAAAACCATTCTGATACAAATAAAACTTTCTCTAAAACTTACGTTATGAAGTTTCTTGTGTATTTTTCCCGTCGAAAACATTTCATGTAAGGTAAAAAGGTTTTTTTTAACAGACTACCGGCATTTCTAGCAGACAGTACTGTCAATAGGCTGGTTCTGTCGCACAATCACAATATTTAATGCAAATGTATCAGACTCCCACCTATAACTGAGATAAGACTCGCGTACGGAGAGCTTTTCAATTAATTACTCAAATGCAGAATGGTATCATATGTACAGACGTCAAGAGGCGGACAAGTAGCTAGTTGACGACATACTGAGTAACAAACAGTTTACGACAAAGGGACGTGATCATATTGTAACAATGGAATATGTAAGGAAAATTAATGTTGTTGTCAGTATATTTTCAACTTATGAGTTTGAATTTCCCTTTGGTA